TCGACAGACCACTCACAAAAATCATATTGCTGTTTGGCAGGTCCTACAAGCTCAGGATGGGAGTCTGTGTGGTGTCTGGTCATGGCTCTGGCATGGACTTGGAGATTACAAAAGGCACATCTGGCAGCCAGTTCCGAACATAGGGCTTGGTCCAGCATGAGGCCCATGAATGAACGATGTCTGATGTGCATTCTGAGCTCTTCCCTGGCGACAATGGGCTGAACGGTAGCCTGAGCAGCATCGAATGCATGGCAAGCACGCTTATTGATGTGATCTTTGAGCGCATATAATGTGATGAACTGATGTTTGCAGTGTCGACATATGGATCTCCCTTCAAATGAAACTCTCAGTGGTTGGAAAACGTCTTCAGGGAGACACAGGACCTGATGCTGTTGTCGAAGATGTTTCTTGAGCATCCCCGCCTGGGCAAAGTGTCTGTGACACTCAGGGCAAGCCAACGAGGCCTGAGGCAGCGGTGGCGTGGGCGGAACAAAAGCATTCATGTCACACTGCGGGTATGCAGGGCTAAGCGTGCAGACATCCGGATGCGGCTCTGCGGACTCCATCATATGCTGTGTTTTGAGGGTCAAAGCGGTGGTCAACTTGCAATGATGTTCAGCAATGTAAGTCCATGGAGGTTGAACTGCCAGTCGATGGAAGAAGTCGGTGGTGTTTTCATGTGTGAGATGGACCGGCGAATGAATCATGCGTCTATAGTGAACATTAATCATATTGACTATGCGTTTACAACATGAGATCGGCAGGCCCATTTCGTGAACACCATAAAGAACAGTGGGCACAACACACTGCTGATATAAACGAAATCGAACATGGGCAGGAATGGACTGTGCCTGGAGCCATCGCTTCAAGATCGAATAGCAGTGTTGAGCTGCTTTGACTCTTCTGGCCGTGGTGTCGGTTTCCCATGCTCTGTAGCCTATGATCACACCAAGATACGCTGTTTTGGCCACCATCGGCGGTCGAAAAGGTGTGTCTGGGATCACGAGCTGAGGGCCATGTTTGGTCCGGCTGATCCAACGGCGTGTGAATTTAGAGACCCCCTTGCCTACCGCTCTGAAAAGAACAACACTCTTGGTGGAATTGATGTTGAATCCAAAGGAGCGAAAGGTATGCAGGATGTGGGCAAGGTCTCCAAGGGCGTTCAAGCCGTCCGCAATACTATGCAACGTCCATCGGAGGTGGACGTCGTCTGCGTATACGATCAGGTGGTCGTGCAGCCATTCATGAGAATACCTCTGAAGGAGTTCTTGCATGATTAGAAACATACAAAGGATCCAGAGGATGGGAGCATCAGTGGATCCTTGTTTGATCCCTCTAGAAGCATCTATTGACCCAATCAAGGATTTGAAGGGAATGTGATACTTATGTGGGGCCAACCAAGTCTGGATCATGTGCAGAACATCCGGTGTGAGGCTGATTTGGTTCAATGCATGGAGCACGAGGTCTCTGCGGACCGTGTCAAAGGCCTTTTCCATGTCCAATGAGACCTGGAGGCCACCGAACAGTCCCTGAGGATTTGCATCCTGTTGTCGATCACGACAAAGCTGTCTAATTTGCTGGCAGTGCTGTGAGACTCGAAGGAGACACTCAGTGGTGCCTCTCTGCGGGAGGTATGCATAGAGTGGCAGGCTTCTTAGCGTAGGATATGCATGTTGTTTGATGAGGGTGGTTAATATCTTGGAGACTACTTTGAGAATTGGGTGCTGGAGACAGAGGGGCCTCAGTGCTGCAGGCTGAGTGCTTGGTTTACCTGGTTTGGGTATCAAGTGCAACCATCCATCAAGCCAATGACTCGGTGGGGCCACATGTTCTGCACACCAGTAGTATTCTAAGGCGGCATGGATCGGACTCGCCAGCTCCGGTGCAAGGTGACGCCAAATGATGGCGGGCATGCAGGGGGGGGCTAATGCTTTCATCTCAGGTAAGTGTAGAAGTCCCTGCAAAAGATCTTCTCTGGTGAAAGGAAGAGTTTGGAGGGAGACATTACCCGGATATTGAAATGAATGGTCCTGAAACAGTTGGCCAAAGAAGTATTCAATGCGTTTGAGTTCAAGTGAGGGGGTGAGTGGTTGTCCTTGATCATCAAACATCTGGATCTTCTGAGGTCGTTGCTTGGGGCACAATTTATGGACCTTGCGAAACCAATCATACGTCTGATGACGCATGGCCAAGTCAGCACCTTCCTGCAGGAAGTCTTCTAGTTTTTGGCGTTTATTCTGGTGGCTGAATTGGCGAATTTGCTTGTGGTATCGACGAAACAAAGCAAGGTGCTGCCAAGCCGTGAAAAGCGAAGCAGCCAACCGATCAGTCAGTGCTCTCACAACTTTTCTGGCCTGCCACATACGTGCAGTGATGGAAGCAAGCGGGTTGCATACGACTGGAGTGGAGGTTTGTTTGGGAAGCCATGCCTTGCATAAATTAGTGAAAATACTCTCCAATTGAGGAAACAAAGACGGGTCTTGGGCAATGCTCGAATGCAAGTGTTGCCTGGCCTCCCAACAGAATCCCTGCCCCCGTGGAGTGTTCTGCTTCATGTCCTGTCGAATACGTTGGCGGTCAAAAAGGACGATCGGTTTGGGAATGGTCCAAGTCAGTGGATGATGATGGGGGCCAAGAAGGCCGAAGTTGAATACGAAATCTGTGAGCAGTTGGGGTGCAATCAATGGCCAACTGATCTGTGGTTTCCGCATCAATGCAAAATCTATTCGATTTGAATGAGTGCCATGCTTAAATGTCGGCTGAAAATGATCATGACAGTTGAATGCAACTAGATCGAACTGCTGGAGCAGATTGGAGAACGTCTATTTGTTTTTCTGGGCCGCCTGTGCATACTTAGGATCGGCAATATGGACTTTGTATGGCATGTGTGGGAGGGGGGTGTTGAAATCGCCACATACTACGATCTGGTTGCTATGAGGCAGGCGTTCAAAACAATGTTGCAAGTGCTGCCACACATGTTGCCGTTTCGAGAGAATCTGTCGTATTCCATGTTGCATGGACCAAGCCTGTTGGTAAACGATCACAAAATCATGGGGTCGATGAAGGTTCAATCGTACCTGAAGCACTCTTCCATGAATATGGTGTGCAATCGAAATTTAATCCTATCTGACGAGGGCTGTACGCACCATGAATAAGATGGAGCAAAATCGGTCGGCTGAATGCACGATATGCCAACGCTGGGTGCTCCATTCATTGGTCATTGACCAGCCAGATTCCTGGATAGCGATGATGTCATAGGGGGAATCATCACACCATTACAACCATGAATGATGTTCAATCGAGCGGGAAGCATTCCATTGAAACATTCGAAGTTGGCCTGGTCCAGGCATAGGAGGAGTTGGTGCTAGTTTGGTCATTCGAGGTTGTGGGATTTTAGCAAGGTGTTGTTTAATTCGAAATAGGATTTGGAGAGATTTAATTGCTTGCCCTTAAATATAGCATGTCCTTCCCTCAAGGCTCTAGCATAGGAGCGTTTTAATCAATTGCATCGTAAGCGTGACTTAACAAGGCCGAGGCCCGACGACGCCCATATCTCATGGCACTTTGCAAGAGTGCCTAAAAGGTCTCGTTCATAGCTGCTCCCACCCATCCCTAAGGCCGGATAAATAACCCTCGCGCCGAATCCTCGAAATTGCAAATATTTCGGTAGGACTAGAGCATTCTCCGCACTTAAAACTAAACAACTCAAATAAATAAAAATTAACGCAATCGAAAATCAAAATACGAGTAGCAATATAAAAACGATCGAAATATAGCATCGCACCGCAGATCCGAAAGAAATGGCGCTTTAATACAACAATATCATAAAATTCAATTAATTATAGTTAAAAAATAAATAAATAAATATTTTAATCCAAAAAATTAAAAAATATTTAAAAAATCATCAAAAAATAGGTTATATAAATAAATATACAAATTTTAAATTATATTTTGTTTTTTTCATTATCGAATTTCCCCAATATTATTAAATTTAAATAAATAAATATTACTTAAGCCTAATTAACCTTTATTTTGATAGGAAAAAAAAAAATATTTTGGAAGTTAATCCTCCAAAACAACGATCATTCAGGCTCCAGGTATATATATATCAAAATACAAAAAAAATAATATTTATAAGAAAATATATTAACATAAAATAAATATCAAATTTTTATTTCAATTCTTAAATAATTTATAATATTCAAAATAAATATATATACATAATTATATCAAACCATATATATTTATATATTTATATCAAATATATTTAGATTTATTTATTATGTCTTAAATATTAAATATTTAATTCTAAATTTGAATATTTTAAATAGAATATTCAATAATTTCTATATAAACGGGATTGTGTTTCCGTAATGCCAATTTGTTCTTCATATATTGGATTCATTCGTTGAATTTCTTCTCATGAATACATGTCCTAAAGGTTTCGGCACACGCAAAGCATGCCGCCTCCAAACAATTTATATATATATATATTAATTCCCCTTGCGCAACGAGAGCAACAACAATGGCGCATCACTGCAACCAATCAAACACAGCACCACAACGAGAGCTCACGTCACGCTTGGTCCACGCTAGATCATACAATATAAGGGTTACCGCAGGCTGGCCCAGTTCTTCTGGCAATTCTTTTGCAAGCAGCCGAATGCCTGCCTCTTCCTCTTAATTTTTCTTCCCATGCTCCATGGCAGGTCACAAGCATGGAATGAAACATATTCCTAATTAGGTAAACTTCAGAGGTGGGTGTCCGTGCTTTACGTCCAAATTTCAAATTGGATGCACTTGCGGTGTCCTTTCCAATTGAGCCTCGTCTTGAAGGTTCCCTGCAACCTAGAGACAAAATTTGGGAAGAGCTTTCCGAAACACTGCTACTGCTACTTCGAAGGTTCGTGCATTAACGTATTGCCTTTTGAAGCTTTTGCCTAAACTCCCGAAAATGGGTTTCGAGTTTCAACCTTAAACATGTCGAACCCTGAGTCATTTCGGCTTGTGAAAGCTTGATATTGGATTCTATTTGTTGGATTCTCCATGCCATTTTTCGATGCACATTGAATTCAATCGGGATTTAATGTACAGCAGGATTCATGATGATCCATATCATCCACAGGATTCCCAAGTGCGGCATCTTCTGCAACTTCCACGTCTGTTCCTTCAATCGGCATTGCTTCAGCCGGACCATTCCCCGGAGTCTGCCTCGAATCGTCAGCATGTGCCTCAGCCGGCTCCTCTGCGTGATTTCTCCTTTGATCTTCCACGTGTGCCATTGGCACTTCCCGATCCGAATCTTCATCTGGACTGAATTCACGATTTACTTCATCGTTAACACCGTTGACTTCATTGTTCACTTCGCCGTTGACTTCGTCGTTCGCTTCGTGGGCGTCGTGGTTGATCTCGGCTGGATTCTCTCCGACAGGACCTGTATCCTCAGCCGGCTTTGCTGGCTCTGTGCTCTGAGGAAGGCCAAGATCTGTACCATTTGGCACACTCCTCTCTGTCTTCTTGAGCTTGCTCAGCAGCCTCCAAATTGAAGGGAGTATCAGCGAGGAACTGCGGGCATTATGTGATGCTACTTCAGTTCAAATCAGTGACCATCTGAGTTCATTTCTAAAGCTATGCTGCCTCTCCAGCTTCTCTTCAACTTGCGCCTTGCAGTTGATTTCGGAGAGGTTAAAGAGACTATCTAGTTGGTGGTTCCGGCTAAGGGCAGCTTGAAGCTGTTTGCATGCTTGCAGCATAGATCTCATTTCATCTCGTTTCATCTCGTTTCACCTACACGTGTCGGATTTGTAGCATGCAGCATGATGTAGAATGGATAGCTGTAGGTATACCATGATGGTATACCTAAATTATGTTCCTTCAGACTCAATGGACCATGTATGACTCTATGACCATATGCTGTACAACAGCAAAACGGACAGAGCCACCCATGACTTGATCACAAAAAAACAGTCCAGCTGTTCATCCACCATCAGTCAGCGCGCACGACACATTCCCTACAGTACCTGTAAGCAAACATTTTATGCCCGACATAATTACTAGGAACAAGGACGCTACTAGTAACAAAGGGAATCACTACTAGGAGCAAGAAAGCTACTAGCAGCTCCTGGCCTTACTACTAGTAAACAAGAAGCTACTAGGAACAAACACTTTCCGACTGTCCTGGCTCATGGGCGCGTCCCCATCGCTACTCTCGCTGCTTCCACGGCTTGTCCCTTAGTCTCTCGTCACAGAAGCTGGGAACACTTGATTCAATGCGCATGCTTCACATCCTATTGGCTTTGAGATCAGCCATCACCAACACGGTACTGACTGCAGCAAATGTGCTTCTCCTTGACTTGGCTCCTTTGTGCATGTCCTCAAGTACCAAGAACTCGCACAGCTAGTGCAATAACCAACATCGGCATGAAGCGTTCACATTCTTGTCTGATTCGTCTGTTGTTCCCCACAGATACATATCTTTTCCACGTGGGAGTGAGGGTGCTGTGGCAAAGCTGGATGATGGGCTACACCAAATTGTTTCAGAGCAATATCTCGACAAACGCGTTGCAAACGGCAACTTTCTAGCCGAGCCTCGTCACTGTCTTCTTCCATTTCTTCCTCCTCTTCGTCCTCCTCAAATTCTTCCTCCTCCCCTTCTTCCATGGAGCTTGACTCAGCCTCGGTGATCTCCACTCGGAACTGCAAAATGCATCAAAATGTCAGGTCCCACTAAAATGCCTGCTTCGACTGAAACTCCGAACACTTGGCATCAGTGAAGCACCCCTGAAGCTGAGTGGCACTTGCGGCACATACTGGCTCACCTGCAGCTCACGCGCAGCTCACGAGGCCCATTGCGTCGGAGACATTTTTAAGCTTTGCAAGCACTGATTGGTAACTTGTCAGGGGCTCTGATTTGCCTGAAGACCCTCTGGGGCTTCTGGACCTGCTCGTCCTGCCGAAGGAACTCACATGAAGGACTTGGAGAAAACATGATAAACTTACACCGTTATTGCTATTAGCACGGCTAAGCATGGGGTAGGCATTCCAGACCCAACCCTAGAGAAAAAAACACGTCCCTAGTTAGCGGGAGATCTTCCTACTAGTAAGCGGTAGGGCAGACCTAGGCAAACATCTCATTTGATCTCACACCCTAATGAGCCTTTTTACCCTTCACCTCAAGATATTCTTCAACTGCTAGAACAATGAACACGCATTGAACACATACATGCGCTATTGTCATGAGTCGTCACAAAACACGTCTCCGATCGCCTGTCTTCAGCTCCTGGACCTGGTAGTAAGTTCACACGTGGCCTGCAGATGTTGGATGAGCAAAGAAGGAATGTGACAGAAAAGCATCATTGTCATGGAAGTGGGGAATGAGAATAGCAACACCACTCACCGCTCGGATCCGCTCAGTCATCTTTTTCTGCACTCAAAGGTTGGACTCTTCTTTCTCCTGGACAGCTCATTGATGATTTTCTCAGGAACATCAGTGCTCTAGGTTTGGGGGCACATTCAGGTTCGTTGAATCAACGGCCCGAAACACACATTAGAAGAATTAGAAGTGCAGTACATTCCTTAGTGTCCGATCAGAGTTACCTTGCAAAGCTGCACTTATGAAACAGCACGACACATTGACCCTTGTTACTCAGATCAGTTCCGAACTGCTATGGCAGGTTGGAAATAAGCGGACGTCTATATACTTCTGCTGTGTTAATCGTCAATCGCCAGGTTGGAGGCCATCGCTCTTGGGTTGGTGGCCATCGCGTAGGTTGGAGACCAATTCTTCTTCATTAATTAATCGTCCTTCAGTCTTGACATGTCTTGACTTTCTTTCCACTTCTCGGCCTTTTGGGGTTGCCAAAGTGATCCGGAGAACCGGGTCCAACTCTGTTGGATCACTCGGTGGGAGACCCTGGTTGAAGTTTTGATGAGGGAGCAGGTGGGGCTGGTAGGAGAATGAATTAAGATGAATTAAGGCAAAGCACACACACACATGACACATGTTTAAAGAGTCTTCCACACAAATCAGCTGGTGCTGTTGCCTCCACATCAATGACATCGACTGCTCGAGCTTTGATGCGCATGCGGCCAGCATTTTTGGTCACAAGGTCATCCCCAGAAAGGGTGCCTGGCACAGTGCTCGAGCACATTGGAGTACGCCAGTAGTATACTCAATGAAGCTAACATGAGCAACTTTTGGAGTTCGGCATCATTCCATACTGTCCAAAAGTGTCAGAAAGGTTTCAACATACCATGGCATTGACATTCGAAGGCAGTGCAAGAACTATCAGGTTCTGAATGGTTGTCATCTTTGACACAGAGTCATGCAATCAAACATTCTTGTTCTTTTAGGAGGCAACCATCCTTGTAGAAGACGTTGACTGATGTCACTGCACTGCATCAGATCCTGAAAGCATGGCAAATAAACAACAAAGGCCAAATTGATCAAATTTGTCTCTGCTTCAATGTAACTTCTGGTGCCAAGCCTGACAAACCAGCTCGATGATACGGCAATACTCGTTCATCTTTTGGGTCTGCGTAAAGACTTTTTCCTGCAAAACAGTCTCAGGAACTGAGTCTAGAGCGTCCAAACTTGTGCCGTCCATGAGTCCGCTCACGGCGTGAGAGCGTCCAAACTTGTGTCAAACTTATAGTAGCAAGGGCATCGCTACTAGGAGCAAGGACGCTACTAGGGGCTGCTGGCCTTACTACTAGGAGCAAGGACGCCACTAGTTAAGTTTTCCAAAAAATCTAGGAACCAAATGAATAGTGCGAACGCTTCTTCAAGGAAGCTTCCCCCACCCTCAGGCGGGGGGACCGGGGGGGGCTTAAATGATCTTTCCTGTACCTACTAGCTACCTCTCACTTACCTAATTAATTGAGTAGGCACGGGGAGCGGGCTTTGACAAACCTCTCTAATTTTGCTGAAACATGCTTGTCTCACTCGTCCGATCTCGGCAATGGCCAAGCCTCCAGGTCGACAGCCTGTATGCGTACTTGTCTGGCCCTTGAGGCCTCGAGTGCGCCATCCTTCTTTCCAGTTTCAGCCCTGAGCGCCGTTTGAAACGTCTTCTTTTGGTGACGTGGTCACGAGCTAAGTTCCACTAACCATACCAACCGGAGTAGCTACAATACATTCTGCATAATTCTGCAAAGCTCGGGCAGCCTGTACATGCTCCTCCAGCCCTTGATGAGATTTGTAGCAGCACTGCGCACACGGGGTGCAGCTTGGCTACCTCGCCAGCATGGTTTGTTGAGCTCTGCTGCAATCCTTGGCTCCGAGTGAAGTGCCAAAGGATCGAGTTCTGATATTTCTCTTGTCCATGTTGGCCCACTTGTTTGAGACTGCCCAATAAAAATCCAACAGATCTTTCATGAACTTTCAGTGAATGTATTGCCAGGATTTGCCAGGTATCTTTGTAGCTTTCAAGCACTCTACGGTAACGTTCAACTGCCGGAGCTGTCGGAAAATCGCCAGAGCTGCAGCATCACTTTCGCTGCGCCCAGCGACCTTCTCCAGTTCCTGGCGCTTTCTCTTTCAAGAACTGGAAATTGTTGGCAGAACATGGCAGAACAAACACTCATGGAGGAAACTCGGATCATGCCTAGAACCCCAGCAAACTCTGGCAAGTCAATCACAACAAGAGAAGCCCTCCATGACACTCCATGTGCCTCTCCAACTCTCAAATCTTCAAACTATTTCTGCCGTGTCTACGGCAAGTTTGATCGCCACTTTACTCAAGTGTCAGTTGTGTGTTATACACAGACGCAAAACCAAGTCCTTCAAAGGAGCCAACAAAGTCCGTACGTTCTTGCCTGCAGTAGACTCCGAATAACCCTGTATCACCACGAGACTGCAAATCACATGTCTGTAATGTCAAGGCCAGTACGCAAGTCTGCCTCAGCCTCATTCAAGGCCTTGGCCAAGCAAAACTTGTTGCATAGTGCATCTCCGAAAACATTCCGATAGTATTTGTGAAACTTTGAGAACTGGTTCTGACGTAAATGGCCTCTACAATCTTCCGATCGTCTTCGTTCGCACCATTCTCTATCTCATCGGCCTGGATGGCAAACTGCAAAACTAGGTTGAGATTCAAATGTAACTGTATTCCTAGATAGCTTCACCGTGCTGCCAACATGTCGGCACAGCGCTGCTATGCTATTGTGAAGAACTTCTTGCAAGGCACTTAGTTTTAGCTTGTGACCTTCTTGGCCCTGACCCTTCTCTCAAAAGCAAGCTCTAGTGCAAATCAACTACAAATGATTTACAAGTGGTTAGAACTTGAACGCTTTGCTTCCAATCAAGTGAGCTTTCGGTTGGTTAATCTGTTGTAGAGTGTGAAATGAAATGGCCTTCCCTAGAGCCTCTCCTTTTGCAACATTGAGACGAATACAAATGGAACTCAATGTCCAGTGTACAGCAAGCCAGGACAACGTCTTGCGTCTTGCATTTGTCCAGATTGAAGCTATGGTGAATATCTAGGACTGAAAACATGAATACTGTATATTGCCGCTCAAATGATATTCATCAGTCAAATTGATGGAGTCTCTTGTGATTCGTTGTTCTTTGCATTGGTGTACCCTTGGACTCCAGCAAGATGGGCCTTTCGCTTCTTAACAGGTGCTGGTGACTCTGCAAGAACACTCTGAAGCCGCGCAATGGCCTGCTGGAAACTGGAGAGGGAAGGAACAAAAAACCATTGCCGAAAGGCAGCTGAACAACAGGTTGCTAATTATATATATACATAGGATACAAATCCCTGTAAGAATACGCCAGGAGGGCTTGGACAAGGGGTTCTATAGATATAAAACGCTGGGCCTCTGAAAAATATCTATAGAATGCCTGGTGCTCATAAAAGGGGTGCTATATAGAATGGGAGGGTCTTTGAGGAAAAGAAAACACGACATCCGAAATCAGTGTCCAAGCAATGACCTCTATAGAACGTTCTGCCCAGGCCCAGCTAGGCAGCAATAGATTCCATCACGACCCCTGGAAATCATTTTATAGAGTCTCTAGAATGCCATCAGCCAAAAAACATGTGGAAATAAAACATGCACATGTACATCTATAAAACGACAGGGTCTTGCAGCAACATCTCAACCATCATACCTCTATTTTTGCATTTCTATAAAATGCATAGGGCCTGTCCAGGCTCAAAAACAATACATCTCTATAGGATGACCCTCTGATTTTGGGCCCTAGGGCCCTACTTTTTATAGGCCCTTCTCGTACGAGGATGGATACAATAGTAAGGAAGGGGCACTTGTGTCGCAGTGTTCCTGGAGCCCGTTAGCGCAGACTGGCATATTCACTCCAATGTTTGGTATCTTCCAGTAAAGGCAAAATCCCCACCTCACTGCGTCCATGATCAGTAACCTCTTTCACCGAGTTGGTCTTGAAGGACAAGTCATCCTGCTCAACATCTCCAAACTTTCAAACACCGGTCATCCATCGTCATTCTGCGTGGATAGGTGTTCGATGTTTTGCCATCTCTGGAAAAGGACACCGGTCCTCTTGATTGCACGCTTGCAGGGCTTTGAATTGGGCTTGGAAACTCCAACTGCCATCCAACTGAACTTTGTTGACCACCTTCCAGCGTCAAATGGGCGGTGTGTATTTACAGCATATTCAATCCAAGCACCTCTGGCCGCACAAAACCAAGTGCAAGAGATGCTTTTCTGAAAGGTCATCAGTCTCCATGACCGCTGGCTTAAACCTAACGCGACCTAATGCTTTGGCCTTTAAGATTCAAAACCAAACTACGAAGAAAACACGGAAGGATGACTTTTGGACAGTGAAGGGAACTTTTGGACACTTCCCGATGTGGCTTTTTCCACCTCGCGAGATCCGCCGCAATGCTTCCCCATCGTGCTTGCGCTATAAGCGTCTTCAACGGTGTTGTGATGTGTTCAAAACGAATCATTGCACATGAGCCAGCAAAAGTGCTAATCTCGATAATTCATTCGCATTGACCACTTGCGCACTTCTGCCAACACAATTCAAGTCTTATTAGTGTGTGTACCTGGGTGTCTGTAACTGTGGCTGCATGTGTACTGTGAGCCTTTGGCGTTCCTTCAGCTTGATTTCTACCTTTCGTGAAAGCATTTCTCTGCTTGAGCATCAAAAAGTACATCGATCGAGCATTTCATAGTCCCACAAGGAAAACGTTTCCGACAAAACAGAAGACACCCTCACGCCCAGCGCCTCATCACCAAAGGCTCTCCTTTGATGGTCGCTCAAAGCTTGGAATTTTTGAGTCACATTCACTGCTCAAACAGTCTATTGAGTCTCTCCTCGATCGGAGGCATCATTACTCCTTGTAGCGAGTCGCGAGAGCAGAATTTTCAGGACAGGAAAAGACCAGCCTAAAGTCTTGCAAATGTTAGGTACATTGTAGTAGAACCTGGCCAACCTGTTACAGTAAAAACGGTTGTGCCATCTGTGAATGAAAAATTATGTCGCGTAGACAAAGAAACTGTACAGTTCAACGCTCATATAGTGACATACTATGTACTGTACAATATGTATATATTTATATGATCCCATATTATATGACACATGTACATAATATATGTACACATAATCTTGACGCGAGACACAGCAAACGATGCTCCACCACACAACCGTCTCAAAAGGCTCGCCCCTATATCTCCACCACTGAGCCCCTATATACTACTGCCTCTCACAAGAGATATCGATTTCCTCCGATTCTCTGGAAAAGCGCATTCGATTCTCTGAGGTCTGCACGCTTCTCGTTCAATGAGAACCACTTGTGAGGCCTCTGAAGAAATGCTTCAAATCACTCAACAATAACAGTTACATAATATATCTACTGTGTATGTATTTATATACATGAATTTCTTGCAACATAGAGCAACTTTTTACATCAGAGAATCAAGGTCTGTTGGACACTGTCTAATGAGTCTAATGCATTCTGTGAGCGCCGTCTTCCTTCTCAAACAAAACACTGTAAAATCTGCTTCGTCGGCCGCATTGCACCTTCTGTTCCTGCTCAAAGAATCTGGGCAGGTGCACCAGTGAGGAATGCTTGCACTCCTGCTGCCAGAATCCAGAAACTGCCAGAACCCCCCAACTGTGACAAAAACGGAAGGACATGTCAGGAATGCAACCCACTGTTTGATTCGCCGAATCTAAAGCAATGCGACAACACAATGTAATGTCTCGCAATCGTCCAGGGTCTGAGTGCTAAGTCGTCCTTTCTGGATGCAAGGTCCCTGTGCAGGGAGTATGAGCTAGCAGCTAGTACCATTGTTTGAGGCACCTAATGAGTTTAGTGGATCTTGGAAGGATTTGAGCATCGAAGCAAGAAGCACTTGAGCCAAGCAAATGAATGTCAGGGTTTGCTCAAGGAGTTTCCCCCCAGCCATGCCCTCCATTTTTGTCAGAAATGCTTGATTAGCTTTTTCTAGAATCTCCGCTTCCTTAAAAAACTATAATACTTTGATGCACTGTAAAAGCTCCATCGTGGGAAGGCAATGCCTTTTCAAATCAAACACACACACACACACCCGGGGTGAGGATGCATGAGAATTAGGCTTTGGGAATGGCCGCATCCTCTTCCGCGGATCTTACTATATCTTGCTTCATTCATCCACTCTGAATAAACCAAAACGCGGCGCTAGCATGTGCTACCAGTGCCAACATCTTGATAGCAATAACACATTAAGTACAAATGTCGAGCACACAAGCTGCGAGCTGACAAGGACTGCGAGCAGGTCCTCCTTGGAGCAAATGTTGCCTCAGAGTCTGCCAACATTTCTTCAATCTATGCTTTGACAATGCACTTGGATGCTTGCACTGCACGCAGCCAAAAGGTGTCAAGTGAAGCGCAAACGCAAGCAATATCTGGATCTTGAAACTCTGCACAGTTTGATATAATGAAACAAAGCCAGGCAGCTTTGAGCCAAACAGATTGCAAATTCTCGGTAGGCCCATGATGACCAAGCCTGTCAGTGACTGCTATCAAAAAAAATAGAGAAACGTCTATCTTACTTGCGTGTTGGAAAATGTCACCTCCAACAACCTTGAGCGCAGAACCATGTACGCTCTGCACACTACAGTAACAGCAATCCAGGTCAACCCCAACCTCCATTTTCTGGAACAGCGACTGCGGGTTCTTGATGCGATTGACACTCAGATCGAGCCATAAGGCTGTGGCATCATCCCGACGGCAGCGGTCCCGCACAGCTGCTTCAATGATGCGACCAGCGGCATCATCACCCAAACTGTTCTCAGACAAGTTGAGCTCTTCTAAGAAGTAGCTGCCACTTCCAGTGCCCAACATCTTCCTCGACCGAAAAAGATACCATCAAAAACCGTTGTTTCACCACCCCTCTTGTCTCGTCACTTGCTTTGATAAACATCATATCCACTTGTGAGAAAAAGCCAGGTCGGGGCATCTGAGAACAATGACACACTCTTAAGAAGCTGTTCAATAGCGCTACACCAAGCGTCACAAGCCGAATGACCTCGGCCACACAGGCCTCGCTGGCATCTAAATGGCAATTGATAAGCCTGCGAAGCGACTGGCACTCAAAATGCATATAAGATCACAAAAGCACAAAGGGATCCCATAAAACAGCAACAACTTGTTAATTATGTTGAAAATGGGAAATGCCAAATCAAAAGGCTCAAATGCTACCAAAAGGCTCAATGCGCCTGAGCCTCGCTGACGTACGTGCCAAATGAACGGCTTGCTCCAAAGCACGGCACCCTTTGCCCACCAAGGGCTGACCATCAATGATCATCTCTCGGAAAGGTGGCTCTCCACGCTGAAATCCACGGAGCCTCCCCACCCAGTCACCAGTGTTGATCACCGAAGCGACATCATGCGACATCGACTTCCAAAAAAAATTGTAGACGTGTTGCTTGACTTATATCTGTTCTGCTCTCTACAACCGCTCTTTTCTATGCATGACAAGGCATTAAAATATGTAGCGCAACAATGCGAAACATGAGGCCACGGTGGCCACGTTTCCACTGTAACAATGCCCATCGGACCATGTCGGACCCATCGCCTGAGAAAAATGGAGACAGTCTTCAACAGCCGAAACGTTCCTCGGTCTTTGCCGTCACGTTCACCGTCGATGTCTTCCAAGGGCTGAAGGATATGCTTGCATCGCGACTCAGTTAGAGACATACAGCCTTCCTGGAGATCTCAGAACCACGACTTCGCAAAGTAGGGATTGTACTATGTATTATGTATCTAGTTTAAACATACACAAAATGAAAAACACACACAGTGACACAAACACAAACAACCAAACGACTAGCTTAATGAAATGCGTGCTCAACTCGCCTCCAAAGCCATTTCCAAGAACTCCAGGATTTCCTCTGCAACATTCTTTTGCCAGCCACAAGCTCTTTGCACAGATTCATTCTGTGTAAGGTCGATTCTGCGCATCACTCCATGGCAGCATCAAGTCAAGTCTCTGTGGTCTACGCAAATACCTCTGGTCCATCTATATCCGTCTCTATTTTTATGAATTTTATTCTTGGTGGGAAACTCTGGTGCACAACTATGCACAGTTGGGTTAGACGGGTATCTACGACTGCCAGACTGGCACTGTCACTTCTAGGCCCGCATGCTACATTATACGGCCCGCTTTGCAGTGGCTATCGTCACAGCTTAGCAAGTGTTGTTCGTTCAGCTTTGGGTGCTCAAGGATGCTGGGTGATCCAGCACTGCTCGGAAGACGAATCCACATATATTCTTCTGTGCATGAGTGCGCCATGTTTAACATGTCTTCAAATCACCTGCATACTCTTCCTAATCAGAACTGCTATGATATAGAAAGCTTAAGTTAAGTGTATGTTCTGGGAAGGCTATCGTGCCGAAACTGGCATGGGTTTTGACACCACACCACACAACAAAAGTACATGCCGGTCCGAAGGGAGAGCCCGTATAGTTTTCAGCTGTCTGGTGGACATCTCCTTAAGTAGATATCTGTACTATACCAAATTACTCAGTCTTCGGTAAATATCCTCAGAATCAACAAAATGTTCTGTTGGGGATGCTCGTGTTGCTTTTGCCCCATGCCGCGATGCCCATTTCCCTTGCCCACATGGCGCTTATTCCGCAATGGTGGTGCGCGCTGGTGACAACTTCGGCTCTTTTGGGGCTCCAAATGCTCCAAACTTCGTGAGCACCACAACTTTTTCTGGACTTCATCGGTCTTCATCGTCTCTTTAGTAGATATGCCAGCTTCGCTTGGACCACGCTTTGCTCCTCAGGAGATGGAGGCGGAGATTGTTGGACCTCTGGACTCGCAGAGATTGTAGCTTTGACTGCACCAGCATCTGCGTCAGCCACCTTGCAGATAGAGCTTCCGTTGGATCGTTGCACGTCTTCCGTTGGACCCTTCGATTCTGGGCATTTCTCTCCGAGATCCTCTCCGAGGTCCTCTCGGTTCTCTGTCTGGGACGAGACCTGAACTTCTTCGCGTCCCTCTTCGGAAATCGGCACCTCCGGCACCTCCGAAAGCTCTGGCTTCTCAGGAATTGCCTGGGCGTTGGGCGAAAGCGTCTCCGTCATCCTGCCCGGGTCAGTGTCGGCCATTTCCTGCGCGAGGCTGGAACGTCGAGCATGTTGACAGTACCGCAAAGAAACAACAGCCAGATGGACGGGCAAAATGGACGAAACATGTTTGGCCATATATCATATATCAGGGCCATATCCTATCCAACAACTTCCCACATCTTCAAAGAGGTCGTTTGGTCACTTGTTTCGCCTCAGTAGCCTTCTTCGGTGGTCCTGCAGTGCCTGCGGCCAGGCGCCAGTGGAAACACACACAGAGTCTCCAAAACACCCAATATCACCCAATCATCCTATAGCAATCATCACATCTGGGCAAAGGCCAGCACGAACAAGTATCAATGCACAAGGCATCACACTTGGCCTTTCAAATGATTGAAGCGCTGATTGAAGCGCTACGTTTCGACATTTGGAGCATGCCTCTGGGTTGAAGCAAGTAGGACCTCAGCTGACAACTGGAACATCTCTCAGGCACAAACTGGCAAACGGTGCTAGGTCAAAGCCCCCGAGCCCCGGGGATGCTCACTGGTTCACTGAGATACACAGTTTAGGGGTAGCATCAAGCCACAGACTGCCCTGAAATAGGAAGACTCTCATACAACGTCATCACAGCAAAAATCATATATATATACTATATATATATATTAAATGTTGAACTACAATAATTACTCCACGACTCCACAACAAAGAAATGGCTGCAAAACAGTTGAATGGTGTTGAATGTCGGTGCAAACCCTGTTACACATCTTTAAACGTTTCTGTTCTGAACGGCTTTGTCCGAAGAAAGAGCTAGGATCCCAGCAACTTGGCTCGAACATCTCCGCCTCTGAAGCGACCAGCGAAAGCACACCAATTTCTAGCTCTTTCCTTTATGTTCATCTTGAAGCCTCAAATGCTAGGATATCTGCTTCAACTGTATTTCCAAGCAAAAACCCTTCCTCAGAAAGAGAATTCAAAGCAATTCAAGAATGCATGGTCTGATTCTTGCTCAGGTGCCTTGTGTGACTGCAATCCCTTCCGTTGTGCTTCTCTGAGCTCTGTCCACCTTGAGACGTTGCGCAAGGACGTTGGTAGTCTCAACCCACGAGCAAGCCAGTGTGATGTGTTGGATAGCTTTGACATGGTTGGCTGTGTTAAACACACTCAGGAAACATCAAATTACTTGACAAGGTCTACAGCGTGTAAAATTACTTGACAAGGTCTACAGCGTGTAAAATTACTTGACAAGGTCTACAGCGTGTATTCTTGTATAATCATATATATATGTGGAAATTTGCATACATTTTTATATATCTACATGTCTTGAATTGTCCTGACATGTCTTGACCAAAGCTGCGGCTGCAGCTACGGCCCGGCTTTACAGGTATCCTTGCCTCAGCCATCCCGGTATTGGTGGACATTGGAGCCGCTCGAGCTTGCGATGTTCCTCAACTGTCTAGTCTCTGACTGGTGTAAGTCTCAACCACTGCCAACTGTTGACTGGTTTTCGTTGTTGTCCAACCATCCAACCCGTAACCCACTGTAGTGCTCTCGCGAGTACACCTCACTAGTCAAATAATTACGAAGAGGAAGTCTTTCTATTGGGTCAAAAGAGTGCAAGTAAAGCAGATTGGATTGGTTGAACTAGCTTGCAAAGTGTGCTTCGACTCCAGTCCTTGTAGAATTACAAAACACACGAACACATTCCTCCCCAAGTAGTCACCCGCGCATGTTCCCTTTCTTGACCAACTGAACTTTTCAGATGCTCACTTCCTACAACATGCTCTCCTGAAGCTTCGGGATTCGTGTTGCCCATTTCACGCGTGCTTGTAGATGCAGACCTCAGCACAACCACCAATACCCAAGCCGAAAGGTAGCAAAGGGCTCAACATATGAAAGAAAAGGACAAAAATTAGACTTTGTAAAGTGAAACAAGCTGAAGGGGTAGATGTCACTAGAGTGACATGAAACTCGGTCGTGACATCCTAGATGGGCTTTGCTGCAATTTTAGACTCTGGGGTAAAGCAAACAAGCCGAGTATATGAGATTCCATGAGGTGACGGTTTCAAACAAAATAATAAGTAGGGACATGGTTAGTATCGAATTCGCTGTGATGTTTGAGAACCTGCAAGATGAGTTGAACTGAGACTGATGAATGAGATGACACTTGATTCTATAACATATTTTAACCAAATCTGGGTAATTAACGGGAAAAAGGGATGCTGTGGATTGCAAAGGTGCTGTTTGGAGCAATTAAAACGAGATGATGGGTGAGAGGAGGCACAATAATGTACGATCAGGGGATGAGGCCAACTAGGCCTACTCTGTACCACGCAGGAAAAATGATCTTCTTGGGACACCTAATGTCACTACACTACATGGAACATTAGCCAGTATGGGATCTCATACCCATCTCAGCTTTGTACAGTCCTGGTGCACCAATCTTCCGTGAAACTTGAGGATCTTTCTAAAGCTTTCATGACGACCATGTCGAAAGACTCAAGCTTACACAGCTCAACTTGTGGTTAAGCATGCGTACACAGTGCCACCAAATACATACCATGCAGTGGCCATGCAGTGGCCATGCAGGTCGCGCACTGGTGGCAAACGAGTCGACCAACTTCGCCTCCTGAGTATCAAACGCCTCGAGCCTCACTGCCCAGGTCGCAGGGCCTAACCAAGAAAAAACAAAAATCCGTGCTGAGCAAAAGGGCAGGTAAACGGTCTGTCTGACTTAGCTTTCAAACGCATTTCTCTGTAGTTGGAAGTCTATTCTTAGGCCTTCTCAATAATCAGAGCTGCAGTATGGTTTATCAGCAAATCACCGTGTAGAACGCCAAGTTACGACTGCGTTGCGAAACTCTCACTTGTTCGTTCGCCTTCAGTTTCCCAACTGCCAAGTTCTCTTTGTTGGACCCGTGAACGCCTTCTTGTGCCTGTGCAAACCCTGCAGAGCGAAGGACCTTTCCTGGATCAAGGAACCGCACTCACGTTCGCAGCTCGATGATCGAAGCTCAGAAGAATTCAAGTACAGATAAGTACAGTAGATACAGTACTGCTCTGTTCAGAACTGATCCAAAAAGACATGTGCATCATATGCGCTGCAAATAAGCTTCGAGTATGCGGAGACTCTTCAAAGACCGGTGGGTCACCTGCAAGCGAACAAACCGTTCAGTACCGTCAACACCTTGAATTGGCTTTGGATGCGCCGCAACTGCATCATTTTATCTACTGTAGCCACGAAAAAAACGCCAAGCACTCCTTTGTCATCCACCTGTTGCTGAGGTTTCGGCTCCCTGCTTTGTGCCACAGGATGTATCTCACTTCCTAGTGAAACTCAGACTGTCAAAACATGCAAAAACGACCAATGCACTTTCAGGACCTTGCACTCTATGTTCGACTCTGTCGTCCCTCCTCCCTCCCTCTCTCTCACTCCTTCACTCTTTGTCTGTCTCGCTGTGTCTGTTCTGTTGCCGCGCATGAAGGAAACAACATCCTGCAATCTCCTGCAACCTGCTAACTCACCCTTCCCACCTCCTTCACCTTCTCATCCTGCCCTCGCCTCTCATGGAGGTAGATAGCCTCAATGACTCAACCGAACTACTCTGAAAGCTGCCAACGCGATCTGGCCACGGAAATCTGTCTGGGCTTCCCTGCCACTTGATGTTTTGCATCACGATCTTTCCACCTGGCTCGACTGGCACATACTGATTGGATGCGGCAAATACGGCTTGTCTATTTGAGCTTCAAACAACATGTGTGATTAGCCCCTGATGTTGCATGAGCTCCCGAAAACGCCTTTGCTCCACAACAGCTCTAGCTTACCTTACGTGTATTACTCATGCACCGCCCAATTCGCGATGGGAATGTGCACGCCGCTCCTGGTTTTCCGCACAACAATGTGTTCCGGTGTGCTTTATTATGAAGAGGACTCAGTAAAGATTGCCGTTTGTGCCATTGGAAGTGCAAGAAGGGTAGGAATAACCAAGACTTTGTCGCTGGATGGCAAACCATGCGAACCTAATCATCTGGAAATGACTTCATTGTCTGGGGTCAAGCGTTGGGTTTTGGACTCCTTACCCTTCAAGCCTAGGGAGTACCATGTTCCACACTACAAGTATAAATCTATGGTGAACATAGCATAAACATGATGTATTACAACATAACACACCCTGACTCTGACATACCCTACGCATCCGGATCCTTACGCACATTGTATATTATAACAGCATATCATATCACCATAATCCATGCTTAACCCTGCTTAACCACTAGCTCAGCTTAGACGAAGTTTTGCCAGCAAGCGCTTCTCTAAACTCTAAACTGGCCAGGAAGTACATCTGCCATGTGCCGGCCTGTCACCAGAGCTGAGCCAAACTTGCCACTACAAATCACATCAAATCGATGAACAAGCGCGTTTTCAGCTCTCTGGGCGTACCCCATGCTTGCTGTGCCAAATGACATTGGCAGGTCGCAGCTCCACCCAGTGCGTGATCTTCCAACTGGTCTGGCGGAGCGCAACATCGAGACGCTGCACCAGTGCATGATCGGAAGGAAACATATGGAAACACTATGTGACTTGGATCGGCAGGACGTAACTTGAAGCACCAAACATGCGCAGAACCTTTTTCGTTGATCTATCGGAAATGTGACAGTCGCACCCAGTACCATCGTTGTCGTCTCCCTCCCATGAAGAACCTTCAAGACATGAATAGCAAACACACTCTTAAGAACCCCAAAGAAAACCTTTCTGAGCAACAGTATCCGACAATTGAGCGTATTTGAGATTGTCAATGTTGGCGTCAAATACATCAGCATTGCTAAGTTTGTCGGATGGGGCCCAAGCTGTCCAAGCTTTTCTTGAAGCTCTTTAGCTTCGTGCAATGGCAATGGGATGCAGGAAAGCGAGTCCTCCGGTCGCTGTGACTGAAGTTGGAGCTGCGATGTCATCAATCATCGTAAATAACGGGAACTTTGCCGGGCTTAGTTATTTCCTTGCCTGTTGCTTTGTAGAAACAAGGGCGGCCCCGAGCCATGCACAAATCTTCACCGGTTTCCCTTACTTTGCAAAGCTTTTGGAGTCCTTGCTTGCTCCAGAGAGAAGCAACTGTTCTCGGCAAAACCGGCAGCGCCATCTGAACAAAAGTTGTGCAAAATAGTTTTGGATCCAAGACTCCCCGACCACTGTGCTTTCAAGGCTGGCCTGCTGTCCAGCTCATCCTGTCTTCCCATTGCCTATGAGGCACATCTCACATAATAAAACTCACTCCAAGGCAAGTGACAGGTTCACAAAGAAGATTGGGGTCCGACATCGTGCAAACCGCAATCCACCTCAGTGACGAGCAATCTTCACTTCCAGTGGATTAATTGGCAAGAATTGGCGTCGAACACAGCGCTGGCAGTTCGCTCCGTCCAACCTCAGGACATTCTTCGGTGGCAGTGCATCCAAATCAGAGTGCATTTGTGTGCCATTTCTGTGCCTTTCGGACCTGCATAAAATAGGAGTCACCTTCCAGAACCGACTCAGGTGCTGTTTTTTCAACAAACATATCCAACCAGTTCTGGGAGGCCAACATTGGAAAAAGCTCCTCCACCTGGAAACGCTTCAAACAGGGTCCAAGGCTGTAGGGAACTTTCTGCAAAAAGCACAGACCAAAGGATGAACCAGCCACTAACGCAGCCACTATTGGGGGAAACGAAGCTTCAAGAAAGGCTTCATGGCATGGCCTCGCCTTCTACATTCTACCTATTCACACCAAGCTTCGCCTGCCTTGGCAAAATCATCGGCCAGTATGGCTCGGAGAAGCCCTGGAAGGGTCTTGAAACGTTTCCATTTTTGTTCCATCCACTGCTGCTGGTGAGCATTGAACTATGAGTCGGCAATGGAGCTGCACTAATGTAGTTAGGAGAAAGCGCAGGTAGGGGTAAGCATATGAGGGAGTTACGTAAGTGAAAGTTGTCCAGCGGCATATTCAGTGGACAGATTCGAGCCTGCTTTGCTTTTCAGCTGAGTAATTTGCTCAAAGCACATTAAATTCTGAATATATAAGTAATTAAAGGGGACAAATTGGGGTAATGTGTTCGTATTAAGCCTTTTGTATTATCTATGGACACTTTTTGCAATTTGGCATCCTCAGGTCCTCAGGTTGACTTCCACCCGGATCTGGAAGGAAGAGTGGGTCATGCAGAAACACAGAACGCAGCAGAAAAAAGGCCATAGAAGTAGAACAAACAAGTGGCAACAGTGCACTGATCACACTCTACAGGGAAATCGCAAAGAACACACAGGCTTGAAACCTGACCCCAAAGTGGTGCCAACTTGGTTCACTTCCTTGTCGTCTGCACCATGTCTAGTTTTCTCAGTGTGTGACTCGTTCGTGCATGTTGAACGATGGGTGCTTTTCGGAACCAAAAGGCAAACAGCTGTTTTTGGTTAACAAATATAAACAATATGGCATGCCATCATGCATTTGTTATGGACCCTGAAGTTGGGGGCCTAGGGCCTAGGTCTTTTTCCGCCAGCCGCCGGATACTTTGGTGACGGGCTGATTCCGCCGGATATTTTTAGTTGGCTGGCTGGCTGATTCCGCCACGTACCCCGAACGCAGGGCCAATATGATATTTTTGGTATGCTGTTGTCCCTTGCGATTGTGCTGTGTGTGCGTGTGTCTGCAGGCCTGCAGGTTATGCATCAGTCTCACTTCTGGAGGGATAGCTGAGCAAAGCAAATGTGAGCCAAAATGATAGAGTCCCCAGTCACCCAAATTCCCGGCCAAATTCTCCAAGAATACACCCCCATTGGAATGACTCAGAATGAGCACAACAAAGCTGAATAGCTATTTAATGAAACAAAACTCCTTGAAGAGTATCCCCATTCTGCATTTGCTCTCCCAGCCTCAGCATGCATCATTATGAGCCACATGTCACCCAAATGAGCGAAAATGACTTGACTCGAACAACATTTCCTTGATCTGAGGAAAATGCCAGGAACTGTCCGGTCTGCAAAAAAATATCCTGCCAAGACCGCAGCTGCTTCTACCGACATCAAGTCTGCATGATCGCTCAACTTAAGCAAAAGGTTAAAAGAAACGTTCAACCTGCTCTGTCCTGCAAGATAAATCAGCTGCGGCCTTCGAAAGTGGGAGATTGGTTTCTATCATGTTCTGTCCGTAAGTTCACTGAAGTTTACCAGCATGTGCAAACCATCACAAAACCTACTCTCACAGGTCTCAGTTTGGCACTTCTACCCTGGCTGGAATAAACTCCGTCGGCAGCTGCTGCAAGTCTGTCTTGCCGAAGGTCCGGAAGAAACCTCAAGAGTTTGGGAGGACTTGTTGAACCTTTCAGGACATGCGCTCTTGCACACCCTGGGCACCAAACTTGTCAAATAATCATAAAGTTCATCCTCTCCAGAGCCTAAAAATGCGATATCGCCTTCCACTGTCATCACATCATGTTTCATTGCTCTCCTCGTCTCGGAGGAAAGGCAGGATTTTGCCATCGATGAGCAGTCTCCGAACCTCCATGTTCAATTTCAAGAGAAACTAAGCAAAGGCAAAAATATGTATATATACCTTACACGCATGCATGCACCTGGAACATACTGCCTTGCACTCCGAATGTGCGAAATGCGTCAGAGTTGACGACTTCAACTCGCAACCCTGCTTCGCAGTTTGTTGGGACACGTTCTTCCAACAACTCTTGCGTTCACTCTGAAACTTGGTGGTCTGATGCGGAAGTTCTTTTTGGCGCTCTGAAACTTAGTGGTTCCGCAGTCCAGAATGATGCAGCCCATTGTGCAAGGCAGGCGGTCAAGTGTCTTCTCACATTCCCACGGCTGTCTGCCCAAGAACGAGAGTGTGTTGAACGGTTGGAATGCGGCGTATAGGTACTTGGATGATCAGGAAGCGAGATCGAGCAAGACCAGGGTGCAATGTATCTGTGGTCTCAAGCAAACCAGAAGCGGGCACTCCAAGTGGAGCATGCAAAAATGACTATATAACTATTTGGAATGATCAGTCCACGAGATTGAGCCATTCCAACAACTGACTTGAAGCAACATCAGTTGTTGGAAAAATCCAGACGCTTCAATGGTTGGAATGGAGCAGAACAAAGCATTCGGACTGATCAGGAAGCGAAACGTTTCTATTCCAAAAACATCCAAAAACAATACGTAGCACAATAGCAGAATGAAGCTGGATTTGCTCTGTGGCCCGGCACCGCGATCAAGGCTTTCTTGAGGGCATGGTTGAGGCAACATGGCAAGTGGGCAATGATACTTTCGGACATGTAGAGCTTGAAACGCCCTGGTTGAACTGCCAATATTTGCAGCACTCTGATCCTTGGACCAGTGGGCATCTCCTTCATTGTCAATTGAAAGGCATGTGTCCCGTAAAGTGCATTTCAGGCCCACTTCTTAGGCTGGCCACTAGCCAAGCTTCCGTCAAACAATGAAATCAATGCAGCCCCGTTCAATTTTGGCGGTGAAATGTGGCGTGGCTATGGGTGGCTTATGTGGCGCACTTAGAGCCAAAGCGTTGAGGAGATATTCGTTCAAGCGCAAGAAGCAGCCATGGGAAGAACTGGTCGCAGTGCCTGACCGATGCCTGTCATTTTCTTTGTGAAGAACTGGTCGTGATTTGTGCTTTTCACTCCTGAACTCTGAACCTTTGGGCACTCTGTGAACTGAAATGGGCCTGGAATACTCAGAATCAATTCGGCTCTTGTGTGCGATGGATTGCACAATGCTCGCAAAGGCCCAGCACTGACATCCCAGGTACTGTAACAAGCTAAGACATGAGGTGCCGAGCTCAGGAGTGGGCCAGAGTGTGGGTAGCTGTGGATCCCATTGCTTACAAAGATGGGGCTCTCGTCTTGCAATGGGGGTTACAGGGTTGTGGTCGTGTTCAGATCATCAGAAGTGCCACCACACCAAAGTGTTGCGGCGACAACTTCTACGTAGTTACCACTTTAACTGCAAAGTAGTGCGGTAAATACACAGAAAAAACGCCTGTGTCAAAGCTCCATTAATCGCGGTCGCAGAGCCAGAAAGGATCACCGGACAATATAACATGTGCCTAGTGTATTGGGCCTTGTGGCCTCTTGCAAGCTCAACGTGTCCAGAAATTGAAAGAGGACTATAGACTGATCAGGAAGAATGTTGGGCTCCCCACAAATGCGTCGAAGAGCTTGGCTGGAAGGCCTCACTCTCATACGGTTTTCCCATTGCATTGGTTTCAGTGCAAGGATGCGTTTTATATCGTAGGCCAGCAATAGCGGAATAACTCATGGAGCAGCAGGTTTTTTTTTTCCAGTTAGGAAGTCAGTGGGGCTCGAAAGGGTAAGTGACATTCTGCAAGATCGCATGCTGGGGTCAGCACTGCAACAGCAGTAGTGGCAATACCTTCCTCTGAGGGCCTTGTGCCTGACACTCTAGCTCATGGTCGCAAACCGACATGCAACTTGCTCCAAAATTGCTATCTATGAGATCAATACATGTTAGGAAGGTCGCAGCGAAATGTTATACTCTTGCATTCTGAACTAGTTCAAATGTGTTTTTTGGATAGAGTTGTTCTGTGTTCACGCCGCGCTAAAGCGCATGCTTTTCTTATGTGACTGGAAATCTCGCCTCGCTTCGTGGGAGCAACTGGACACAAGCTGGACAGTCGATGTCGAAGACTTCATCCTTCCGTGAGGGTTTCTTTTTTACTTCAACATACCAAGGAATGCCAATGTGAAACGACACGCGATGTTGGTTAAACATGACCAAAGAGTATACAGCACATCGGTGTTTGGTGAGTAAGCACAAATTTTGGTCAGTGTGCTTGTGCCTTTGCACATGGGTCCAGCTTATCCGAAAATTTGACAATTGACTATTGATTATTGATTAATCACCTGAGAAGGGAGGGACGAAAGCCTAAGGGGGGGTGCCCTTAGGATTGGGATGGCGTTTGCAGGCAGGGCCGCTTGTTTTTGCTTTAGGTCAGGGGTGTGTTAGAGGGTAGAGTGGAGAAAGAGTAGCCGGAAGTGGTAAAGTTGACATCGCAGCCATTCTCATAGGAGGTAGAAATGGAAAGTAGAGACACAGGTCCCGGGGGGGTGACTGTTTTCGTCGTGGTTCGGGCTTGTGTTAGAGGTGAAAAGGGGCACCCTCGAAGGAAGTGAGAGTGGTAGCTTGCTGTGTGGCGCAAATCTGTGAGCAAAGATGGGTATGGGGGGTCGAGGGGATCACCGCGACAAAGTTCCAAACCTTCCGCCTCCAACGCTTGCCTGCTGCAATCTGTTCTCTCTCCTGCCCTCAACAATTTCTGTCATCCACGTGAACTCCCCTCTTCAGTATGGCAACTACGCTAAGCTTGCCCGCAACTGCAATCTGTTCTCTTTCCTGCTCTCAAGTAAGGTCAGTTCTAACCACCTTTCCCATCCCCTTGTCTTCCCTTTCCTCTCATCGACGTGAACTCTTTCCACCGCAAATGGGGTGCCCTTTTCAGTCCAGCAACTCAACCCGCTGCAAGCTGTTCTCTCGCATGCCCTCAACAAATGGCATCATGCACCCCATATGGGGTGCCCTTTTGAGTCCAGCAACTAGACATTGCCACGGACAGAAAAGGGCACCCCTAAGCAATTTAAAGCCTTCCGCCTCCAACGCTTGCCCGCTGCCATCTCTTCGCTCTCCTGCCCTCAACAACCCCCCAATCCACGTGAACTGCCACCGCATAGGGAGTGCCCTCTTCAGTCCGGCAACTAAAAAGGGACGCCCCCAGGCAACGCTAAGCTTGCCCGCAACTGAAGTCGGGTCTCTTTCCTGCTCTCAAGTATAGGGTGAGTTCTAAGCACTCTCCACGTCCCCTTGGCTTCCCTTTCCTCTCATCCACGTAAAGTCCCACCCCTAGTAAAAACAGCTTAAAATGTTTAAATGGCCTCCTGAGCCTCTCATGATGCTGATGATGCACTCTTCGCCGTCAATTACATCACTTGCATCACGACACCCCTAAAACAACTCATTTTTCACTACCTCCGGGCCACCTCTTTTTTCCGCTCTCCCCCACCAGGCTCTGGGTTGGCCTCCCAGATTGGCCTGCTCGCAACCCCCCCCCCCACACCTCACACCCCCTTTAACTCACTTCGTTCGCTCCATCAACCTCAAGCCTTGCCTATCGGCTGGCTTTCGTGAATATTAATGAGTGTTAACATGCGCGTTTAGCATGTCAATAAAGGTATCGCTTAGAAAGGACATCGTATAGATCTCGAAGGAAAGCTCCAAATCAGTCTTGGGCAAAACGTGCATGTACAATGTGTAAATTTAGATCAACGCATTTTGAACACGACTCCAATATGGCTGTGATGAAGGCCTTGGCAAACCGCAACTCAAATAGACTACAGGCGGCACCAATGTCTACCCTTCGTCTACCATCGTCCAGGTCTGACCACACCCACACCATTCGCATCCAATTCCCACAGATCTTGATGATCTCACGAGCGATTTGTGCGCCCTGTCCAGGTTGCTGTTGACAATAGAGCCCAACCTTTGACGACTGCTTTCTTCTCACAGCTTTCGTCTCACAGAGTGCGTCTTGAAGACAAGCGAAACCCCGAACCATCTCATAACAGTGCTCAAGCCAAACACAATGAAGGAGGATCCATTTGCTACATGGCCCAGGAGATGTTAAAAGCAAGCGACATCAAGCGACACATGTCCAAGACCTTGTGTTCCTATAGGCTCTGAGGGCAGCTCTGGAAAACCAAGACTTTGTCATACTTCAAACCCAGCGCACGCATCATCACCAAACGTTCGTCCTGTCGACAAATATTCGGGGGGAGTTCTTCTGTTGCTAGTGGTATGGTAAAAGAATGCAAAAAAGACTTGATGTTTTTAGCAACAGCACAAGGCCTAAAGAGTAGGCAGGGCCTACGGCTGAATTTGTTGCTATAATCGAATTAAGCGGTCTAGCCGAGTGCCACCTGGAAGACTTGCTTGTTCTGGACTTCTGACCTTGACAGATTCAGCGCCCACGTTGCAAAGGTTCCAACTTCTGGGAGAATCAAGTGTGAAGTGTCATATTCCCATTTGCACCTTAAGCTGCAAAAAAAGCGGATGCTTCAGTGCCAAGAGACCATGAGCCATGTGAAGGTTCCAAGTACCACAGACTTTTCAGAGCCTCTGCGAGCCCGAAAATAGACTTTCAAGTTGGTGGGCATTATGAGTTGAAGTAACTGTAACTTCTTGAAGTAACGAAGTACGGAAATGGATACTGTATGTTACTGTCCGTTTTGTCAATAATTGCTGGCGGCTCTTTCAATTCCAACACCACTCTCCCCTCCTTCAGGTATGCTGCCGGCACAGCAGGGCTGTGAATCAGCACTCGCTCCTCCACTCCCACTTATAGAGAGAGAGAGAGAGCAACGCATTCAAACGCATTCAAGCTCGACATTCTCTCTCTTTCTCTCTCTCTCTCTCTCTCCCTCCCTCCCTCCCTCTCTCACCCCCTCAATCTGGCTTTATATTTGGTCAGTCCTGCACTCCACAGTGTCTTGCAAGACCTGAGCGATTGGGATCACCGCGAGGAGACTTCTTGACGTGATAAATTGCTTCATGTTCAAAGAAGAGAGATCAGGGACACAACCAAATGCTGCGAAGCAAGACATGCAGGCAGATATACACAGCACCAGTCAATGAGAAGAATGAGGGTCAACCGGACCAAATGACTACTGGGACGTGTTCGGAAGTGGAAGTTTTTGGCATGCCTTTAATTTGAAGAGATTTGCTTTTGGGGGTGTTGCGAAAGTTTTGGGGTAACCCTCTTTTTCTAGCCGTCAAATGTTATTGTTTTGCTCATGGTACTGACACTATGCGTCCTTCTCTTTTGGGCCCATCTGACACGTTATTTAAGGATTGACAATTGACAGTGTGGTTTCCTCATCTGTTTCAGTGATAAGCAGAATCTGAATCTTTGCAAATGCGCACTCTTCAATGAACTGCAACTTCCAGGACTGGGTCCATGAGTTCATGTTGCTTGCATTTGTTTGCTCCTTTTAACCCAACTTGCTCTGAGACCGGTGCAAAGCCCCAGTACAAAAGCCTGACAGGACAAGTATTGATGACTGGCCTAGACTTAGCAATGACTAGCGCTTTATGTTGACACCAGTGCTAAGTCTACGAACAAAGCGTAAAGACAAACGATATTGCCTGAAGGAAGCTTGCTTCCTTGCTGCTTTGCAGTATGACCTTGGTGGGGAAAAATCGCGAGAAGCTTGAAAGGGGGTAGCTATCAGCCATCAAACGAAAGATACAAAAGTGCTTTTGTTTCTTCCGACGACTGCATTGCAATTGCTATGCCTCACTTACTTCCACAGAATTCTGGACTGAGCGGCAACGTAGGCCCTTCTGCCCTGGTGCAGCAGACATGCGCATCAAGCACCAAACTACTGAATCTACACAAATGAATGTATGTCAGTTTCCCTAAAAATCTAGGAACAAATCATTAGTGCGAGCGCATCTTCAAGGAAGCTCAGGCGGGGGGAGCTTCGTTGAAGAAGCGTGAGCTATCCTGCGTCCTGTTCCTAGGAGCGAACTTGCTCCTAGTAGTAAGGCCAGGAGCCCCTAGTAGCGTTCTTGTTACTACTAGTAAGGCACTTGTTACTAGAAGCGATGCACTTGTTACTAGTAGCGAACTAGCTCCCCTTACTTGATGAAGTAGGCGCCTACTTAATTGACTAGGAGCGGCCTTAAACTGTTCTATGATGTTCTAGGTGTCACGCTGTAACAGAGCACGAAACGGTTTGAGTCTGTAACCTGCGTGGATTGTCGTGGATTGCTTGGCTCCTGCGGCAAAGTTCGGCCGGATGAGATTCGTCGAAGCCATTGAGCGATTGGGAAGTCTCCTGGCCCACAGAGATCTCCAAAGGCCTTCTGCACTGTGTGCAGGTCAAATGCGCTTGGCAAGTTTCCTCGGGCAACGTTTTCACCCAAACACAAGAGTGTAACATGTTCACGGCATTTCTTGTCAGTCTCCTCGCCATCCTGGCGATCCTACTTGTAGCTTGCATTGATTCTGAGAAAAGCGCGTGCTTCTTGACGGTCAAGTCGGTTTGCCTTGTTGGCCTTGTCTGTTGGCCCAAAGCTTCCATCTCAAATACGAAGTGGAAGGCTGATGCTTCTGGACTACGTCTACGTGTAACCAAACATGCATCTTTGGCTGATCTTGGGATTGAACAAGGGCACCCTGTCCGTATCCACACAGGATAGGCCTTGGTCAACCGCATGCCGTAGCACCGACCGAGAACAAACTGGTACACGAAAAATATGTAATATATTGTAATATCGTGAAAGCTCATTCACGCTCACATTTTGTCCCCGTGCACACAACTCGTGACTTCACAGACCAGATCGGATAAGCCCCCTGCGCAGGCGATAGGTGGCGCCACCGTTTTCTGCCACAGCCTGCTAGAAGAAACAAGAAAGTCTGGCATAGGGCTATAGTTATAGTCTATAGTAGCCTTGTCCTCTTGATTCTCTCTTTGCAGAACTTGTAAACAATCTTCAACTTGGCAAGCAACACGTGCCAAAAACAAATCCTCTGGATTTGATAGATCCAGCATGTAGTCACTAGTCTGCTTGGGTGCCACCAATCTAGTGCTCGACATGACATGCTGAAAGGTGGTGCAAGGATGCATCCACATGTCACACATAATACTTTGACATGCCCCCCAAGTAGGCCACAACTAGAAAAGAGGCGGGCCCAGCGACACCGACACGTGTCTCATGCACATGCAGAGAAGAGTGCATAGGAAATTTGCATGTTAATGACCTATAATTAAATCATATAGGGGCCACACATTGACATTTACTAGTACATAATATTTACATATATTTATATACATATATACATATATTTATATACTCTCTCCTGCCTCCTCAGCATCAGCACCCTCTGTGACACCACCTTGTTGCACCAAAGATGCAACAAAGGCAGACCTGTCAGTAGACGCTAAGAAATTCCGTCACTTCCAGGATGTTCCATTGAACGCACTGCGACCACTGCTTAGACATGTCGGCGCCACGCGATTTGAGCTCGCAGGTGCTGGGTGGTTGCATCTAGAGCCTCCAAAGTGAAGTGAAGTCGTTAGAATTGAATGCAACATGAGAATTAATACCCCTGCGGCTTGCAGGTTGTCAAAATTACGGACTCCGCCTGCTATTCCTGGTTTTCTGTTTTCTAGGGGTGAAAACTATTGGCACAAATATCTTGAACTAGTCCGATGCACGGCTGTCGAGAATGACATCGCGTTTCCGCCAAAAGAAGCTTCAAGGTGCTGTTGCAAGTGTTGATTCTCACCTCCCTAAACATGCTTGAATTGCTTTGAGCATCGGAGACAAACATATTGTGGTCATAGGATGATGTCATAGTCTGTCTTGTTCAGCACTATGTGTCATAGGGGTGCACCTTTGTCTTGGATGCACCTCGGCGGCTTGCATGGACCTGCACCGGCTCACCCTTCGGCATTCTGGAGGACTTTGAGGCAAAAGGTGAAACCATGTGAAACCATCAGAAAGACCGAAAGACTCATAATAAAAGACTTTGAATGCCCTCAATTCAAATTAATATCCAGTGTACAAATGCTGGAGCTTGCTCCCAGTTGCTGCAGTCAACAAAAAACTGACTATACTGGCTGAACATTTTCAAAGGCCTGCAGTGCATGCTGCAAGGTCTCCGCAGTGATGCTCCGCAAGGCTGCGGCAAACGCCACATCCTGGACGAAACGTCGCATCCGGAAATGGAAACGTCCTGCACCTGCTAAGCAGCAACTATAGTTTTGCCACATCCGTCGATCAATTCAATCACGATCACCTATCAGCCACGAATCGTTCACACGGCGCATCACACCGGGGGAAAAGAGACTCCTCCTCATTCATCTCTAAGCAGCCATGGCTTTGTTATTTAAAAGCTCGGTGATGATTTTAATACACCGTCGTTTGAGCTTACTTACCAAACTGTCAGAGCAATTCTTCTAGGAGCACATACAACACAACTACCGTACATCTTGAAAAAACGCAGGATCACAGGAAGCCTCCTCTTGTGTTGTCAACACATGCCGTCACCAGCTTTCTTACCATCTTCAATCACACCATATACTTGAGCCGAGTTGGCTTCCTTGTGCCCTTCAAGCAGAGGGTGATGGGTGGTGCTTCATCCTCAACGTCTTTACAGACTCGCTGCTGTACGAAAGAAATTGCGATGCCAAGCATGGCTCCAAGACTCGTAAGCTCGCGTAAGCTGGTCGCAAAACACATTTGTTGCTTCCGCCTTGACAGCATTATATCTGCCGAAAACTGGCAGAGTGCAACCTGCGATTGCAGCTGTGCCAGGTTTCGAAAGGATGTGGCTGCTATGTTTTCCAAGGCTGAGATGACATCCATCTCCGCTCTTCCTGGGGTGTGTATGTGCAAGGTACCGCACTCTGAAAAATGTGAAAGGCTGAGTTTCCTAATTCTATTGATCATATTCTAATGTGGGAATCACATCAATGATGCATCCCAAGCTTGGTAGCTACTTGAGCTGCCTTTTTGCCCTCCTCTTCCTCCCAATAACCACTTCACAGCCTATAGGTCAACAAAAACAGGAAAAGGGAAGGTAAGTTTGCTGGAGGCTTGCCTTAAACGTTACTACGTGTTGCTCTCTTCCCATCGTACAAAATGCTCGTTAAGACACACCTCATTCAGCAACTTGTGTCATTTTTCACAGAAACCAACCCAGTCCTTCCCGCGAGTTGGACCAGGTGTTTCGTAGCAAATATGGCTCCAGAATCTCCAGCAGGTTGCTCATGGTTTGGAGATCCGATCTTGAAACATCATCAAGGCCGGCAAAAGCAAAGCACTGCAACCCTGTGTAGATTTGAAACCTTCGCTGTACATATGAATGCAAAGGCTCCAAACAAAGGCCTGTTGAGGTCTTCCTAAGGCCCGGAAGAGGAGACAATCAAATTTTGAAACCAAATTGAGGACACTCCACCAGAACATGGATTTGATTCCTTAGCCGGATGAAAAGTCTAAGAACTATGCCAAGTTCCAAGGAGCATGTTGGCCAGAATCCCGGGAGTGTCAATCTTGGTGTCTTTGGTTTCCAACGCTGCCAAGCGAATCTGTTGAATCCTAAGTGGTTTCATAGCTCATGGTGTTGATGTTTGGAGTGCGGCAACCTTCCACCTATGCCTTCGTGTATCCCAAACGTGGCTCTCTCCCTCTCTCTCTCTGGTCACACATTGAAATGGGGAGGGGCTTGGTGTGCTGCGGTCTTTCATCTAACATCTTCCAACCAAACCCAGCTTTGATCTCAGGAAAGCCTGACGGAGGCTGGCGAATGTTTGAGTGAAAACCTTCGAAGCAGTTGACCCGAGTCTCAAGCCCACAGGATTCTTTGATTGGCAGAACATGGAGGACCAATCGAGGTATACCTCTAACTTGCCTAACGCAGGAACCACACTACGAGCACACGCATCCCAGAACAAGTTAAGTCTGGTTTGACATCTTTAACATAGTTCAACATGTTTAACATGCAACATGCAAGGTGGAACACATTTCAGCCATTCAGCCAAGACATCAGTCTCTAATGGCACCCCAGCATCGTGGCTTCGCGAAAGAGCGCCCGTTGACGAGGAGTGCTCCAGAGTGTCAAACCATGCAATGTATGTGCCAGGCCCAACACCAAGGGTCCGCGATCCTCACGGCTGGAAGCAATCGACACCCATTTTTTTGTTGTGTGCGTGTGTGTTTCATGTTTATGTTGTTTTTCCAAACTCATGTTCTTTAGTAGTGAAGCCAACCATTGTGGTGTGGTGGTTTAAATATACCGAAGGATTTCCAATGGCTGCCTCATGAGGAGGCAAACCAAATCACTTGAACTTTGGTATGGATCCTTTGGCCATCTTTGGCCGGATATTCTTCTTCTGCCCTCTCCTCAAGCGGTGCTGTTCTGCTTGCCCCTTCAAGAAGTTGTGACCAGGCGGCGAAGTACTGCCTGTGTCAATCTGACGGCACAAAGGGTTAGGAGGTGGGTGGCCTCTGGAACTCTTGACGCAAAATTTCTGAATCCTACCACCACTAAGCTTTGCGTAAACAAGCCAACATTCTGCTCGATGACTCAGAGTCATGCTCTGCAAGGATCAAAATGTAGAAGCGGACAGTTTGTACAAACTACAGTAAGTGGTCTGTGATGGTCTGTGGTCATCTTGTAGATCGTTCTGCTTGCCCTTTCAAATCGATCCAAGAGCCTCTGAGTCATTGCCAAATCTCGAACTTCCAATTGCCCAGCAGCTCCGAGTTTGGCCAGTGAGATTGCCAAGATTCCTTGGCGTGACAAATCGCCTCTGAGATGGTTTATTCGATTGGACGCAAGCCATTCGTAGATGGGCCCCAGGAGCAGCGCCTCTCGAGCATGCGCTCGGGCACAGCCTCGCACGTAGGTCATATGCTGATTGGAGCATTCTAAGAGGTCATATATATCCTGATACTATAAGGTTTGACTTTTGCAGAGGTCATATGTGAAAGTCGTCTTTAATCAAACATGGGCGATTCTGGATCAAACAAAGCCGGCTATGCATGGTTAAATTTTCCCACTCCTAGGCTGGACAAGTAACCAGACAATGTATTCAAAAGCCAGCTTAAGAAAAACGTCTAACGCAAACCCTGTCACTGACACTCCCAAGATAATGTACAACCAGCCCCACACATGCACAATTGTCCTCGTACCCAATCCCTGATAGTTGTTGGGAAAGCTGATTCTTTAGAGTCAAGGCGGAGAAGCAATTCAGCACGACCACAATCGCGTGAGTCAAAGATGCATCTGAGCTGACTGCTGCCTCCAAATCTTCCATCAGAATTCTTGATGTTTCACGCATCATTGCTGACCATGCTGGCTCTGAGTACTCTTGATCAGCTACTTTGCTCAGAGTGCTAGCAACCGTCAAGAGCTCATGATGCGTGAGGCCGATCATCCTCTTGCCCGAAGTCAATTCTTGTATCAGCAAGTTCAAGACAGAGCTGTAAATGCTGTCCGTCACACCAAAGGCAACAGCATCTTCAACATACCTAGCATGCATCAAGCTCTGTCTCTCTGTCTCTATCTCTCTGTCTCTCACTCTCCTGGTCTGGCTTTGGCTGCGACTAGATTGAAAACATGGATTGATAAACATGAAACCAAAACGGAATCTACTGAACCACTTCTTGTGCCTATTTTTTCCGTGCCAAGGAGCATGGTCACTGCGAAGTTCACCGCGGAAACAAACTCTGAGATAGCAAAACTGCCATGATTCTCAATAAGGCGCCAAAGCAAGAGCGGTGTAAGTTCGGCTGTCTTATCAAACCTTTTTCGGGACAGGGCCCGCAGTAAATACGACATATCCAGCCCGGACAAAGGACGGCCTTGCATCACATGATCTGCGCAGTGGCCAACAATCTCTTCACACAAATGGTCAATCTCTTTGGAGTTCTCGGGTATCGATGTCAACACACCCAAAGCGACCTTATGGAGATGCAGGGAGGGTGCAGCAGCTTTGGTGAATGTGTTGGACGAAAGCCAATCAACTACAGCTACATACAACCAGAATCAACATGAACATATTGCGCATGCAAGGAATTGTATCTGAGTCTGTACATGATCGCACGACTCAAGACTTTGATTCTGTTTAAATATATATATCCGCCGACCCCGGCCTATAGCCAAAGCCTAGGCGGGGAGGCGCCTGGGACACCGCAGGGTGAAGCAGTTGGCCAAGCCTAGCAGAACCCTTCAAGCACTTCCAAAGGCGCAGGATGCAGCAGTTGGCCAAGCCTAGCAGAACCCTTCCAAGCACTTCCAAAGGCCTGTCCGAGGCCTCACCAGCTGGCCGGCCTGTTGCGGCCTCTCTGTGGCCTGTCCGAAGCCTGCCTCCTCTCTTCTTATGGGCTTCCGAAGGCGACGTTTAGGCATTTTGGACCACCTTCAAAAGCTTTTCGGCCTCTTGCGGCCTCTCTGTGGCCTGTCCGAAGCTTCTCGGCAGCCGGCAGGCCTCTTGCGGCCTCTCTGTGGCCTGTCCGAAGCCTGCCTCCTCTCTTCTTATGGGCTTCCGAAGGCAACGTGAGGCATTTTGGACCGGCTTCAAAAGCCTCTCGGCAGCCGGCAGGCCTCTTGCGGCCTCTCTGTGGCCTGTCCGAAGCCTG